GGGACACGAACTAGTGACCTTCTAGCTGCGAGGCAACAGTGCTAACCACTGCTCCACCTAGCAGCACTTTAATAATCCCGAAGGAAAAAACTAAATGACGTAACATCAGAAATGTAGTGTCTAAAAAGTAGAAAAGCATGAAGATGTAAGTCTGATACTTTGCTGAAATAAAATAGATAAAAAGCTAAAATAGAAGAGAAGAGTAAAAAGTAATGCTGGTGATTGTACAGAGGTAATGAGTGATGATAATGAAATATTGCACCTGAAAAATGCCATGAAAGTGAAATATTGCTCATGAAATCAAACGTTTGAGTTAAACTGAAATATGACACATAAAACTGAACTACTGCACCTGAGACATGACATATTACACATTACATGCTGAGTGATACTGACCCTGATGAGAAAACAAATATTACAACTGATGTTATCGTCAGATCTAAGTGTCCGATGTCATCATAGAGTACTTCCAAGTACTGCTTTGTACTGCAGCCTCTCAGTGGCCTTTTTTCCAGACTCTGAACCGTCTTTAAACTCACCCTGATCACGTTCGTTTCGCAGCTACCGTCTGTGCGACCCGTCCGAGAAGCACATCTACAAAGCGGATCCGCTGTTCGGGCAGGTGCACACGGTGAAGAAGACGGGGGTCCTTCAGGTCGGGGACGTGGTTTACAAGATCACCCGCTGACGGACGGGAAAGAAACGGGACGTGGAGACGTTCAGGAGGCCAGAGAGGAGTTTGAAATCAGTCAACACTAAAGAAAAAAAGCACTTCAATTCATGTAATGTACACAAGTATGAACAGAAATCGAGCACTAAAGCTGTAGAAACACTACATTTGTAATGAAGAGACTAATCAGCCGGATGATTTTTTAAAGCTTTTATATCACAACAATCATGTAGGTTGTACTAATTGTCATGATGTCAGGCTGGTGTGTGAAATGAATGAACTCTGAATTAAACACACGTCCAACAACTGCACACTGTGAACACTTGTTATTAAAGAAGCTCAAACTACCTGCTGCTGCTGCTGAAGAGAGAAATGAAGCTTTACTGTAATACTTAGTGGAATAAACGGGACAGAAACGTCCTGCTGGGCCTTTCATCAAGTCTAGTCATAAAAAGTAGCAGAATATTTAGAATTTTGTCTGTTTGCTAATAATTCTTACATTTTTTTTCATCAGTGCTCAGTACATTTAATCAAGTGTTGTAATTAACCCTTGTGCATTTTTTAAAAGTTTTTTTTAACAAAGTTACAGTTACCTTCAGGACAAAAGTGTCTGCATTAAACAAACAGCATTATTATTATTGTTGTTGTTGTTACAATACTATTGTAGTAGTAATAATAACAACAATAATAAAAAATACTCAAAATATTTACCTTATACTTTCACTGAGTACATTTTTAGTCCTGATTTTTTTTTTTTTTTAAACCTTTGAGAACATGATGCCACAATTTTTTTTCCCCTCGTCTGTGGTCATAAAATGCACTATATTAATAATTTGTTCCACTTTCAGTAAGTTTGATTTTTAAACTTACATCAGTCTTTATTGAAACGACCAAATATTCAGTCATTGTCAGGATTTGAACCCTAAATGTACACATGTGAGGTACTTCCCTTGAGTCTTGTCTGCTATCTGTAGTTACTTTACAGACTACCGAAATACATGAAGGACTTATTAAATATGTTACAGGTACAGCTGAAATTATTAGTCAAATAATCAATTTATCAATTTTCAGAAAATTGGTATTGGTACATAGTATTTTGAGAATTTTTTTAGATCCCCTCTGACGGCATTTATCATTAATCCATCAACAGACTATTAGAGAAAACAATCTGTGCAAACAACTGGCTGATGAGTAATTCTGCTCTAATATATAATCTAACAGTCACAGAAGACATTTTTCTGCATTGAATATTCTGAGTTTTCATACTTGAAGTACATTTCTGTGGCGATACATACCTTTAATTTTCAGTTCACTTTTACTAGTAACAGAATACTTGTACAGAGTAGTATTAGTACTTTTTCTTCAGTGAAGGTTATGAATACTTCCTCCACCACTTTTTCATTTATAAAAAAATAAACATTTCCCCTTTTTAATGCTGTTAAAACACTCATGTCTTCCTGTTTTAAAGCACATTTGTCATTTTAAAACACAACAAACGTAACTTAAATATAATCATTTTAACAGTTAAATCACAGCAGGACAAGATGTCGCTTTATCTAAACGGGATATTTGTGACATTGGTTTTAGGCTGTCAACACACAAACGATTAATTTCAGTTATATGCTTTTAAACTGTAAAGCCGATTGTCACTGCTGTAAAAGAAAAACTAAAATGATGTTGCCTGTTGTGTATCATCTCTCAGGGTAAATGTTTCCAGACTCTTCTGTCGTCATGTGTTCCAACTGGTATTTAGACAAACTTTTACCAGCATAGAGTCAGTGATGGAAAGCTTTCATTTAACCCGTTCAGTGCTGTTGTTAGAGTCAGATCAGGAAGTAAAGCAGAATATCTACTAACGTGACCAACAGGCTTTTGTCTCTTTAACCCCAGATTTCTTCTGTTTAAACTTTGGACGAACCAAACCAGACACTGAACCACTTTTAGTTGCATACAATGGCCAGTAGGGAGCGACGTTGGCTTTACTGAACTGGAACAAGAGCCTGCAGAGTCAATGTTTTTTATTTGTTTTGTTTTGTTTTTGTGAGATGACTAATACAAAATCCATTCATCTATGGATCCCATTTCTGCCGATGTGATGACAAAAGGCATCCTGTGAGTAAAAAAAAAAGTAGTATCTTAGTCATCTCAGACTTAGTATCTCAAAATAATGACTCAGTATCTTAAAATAATGAGAAACTTTCTCAATATGAGTCATTTATTTCAGTACCAGCTTGTTACCAGTGACTTTTATTGCAAAAAACAAACAACCAAAATGCTCCCAAACGCTGAAATCTAATTATATACTAAAGTTTTGAAATATGGAAGCCCGTCTCTGCCAGTGTACTTAAAAAATAGGATTCTATAAGTCAAAATAAGCACATAATGACTTAAGATTCTAAAATAATGACTTACTATCTCAAAATAATGACTTATTGTCTTAAAAATAATGATCCTTATCTCAGAAATAATGTCTTCCTATCTTAAAATAATGACTTAGTATTTAAAACAACCACTAGATATCTTTAAAATAATGGATGTGCAGACTAAAATAATGACTTAGTATGACAAAATAATGATTTAGTGTCTCAAAATATGACTTAATATCTTAAGATAATGACTAAAGATCTTTAAAATACTGACTTTGTATACTAAAATAATGACTTAGTGTCTCAAAACAATGACTTTGTATCTCCAAATGATGACCAAATATTAAAAAAAAAGAAGATTAAATATCTCAAATTGATGACTCAGTGTCCTAAAATAATGAGAAACTTTCTCAAAATCAGCCCCTTGTTCTGTCGTTGTTGTTATCCTGTTTTTTGTCTAAGATTACCAATACAAAATCAGATACGTACACCATAAAAACAGGACTGTTTTGGAGGTTCAGGTAATAAATCAAACCTAATCAGTTTTCCATAATCCCTCATGTAAAATCCCATTTTTTTTGCACCTTTATATCAAAATAAACACAATCAAACAGATAAATACAGACTAAATTATCTAGAATATTAAAATGAGTGACAGTCAGTGCTCAGCCTGAAAACAAATAAAGAACTGCTGTGTGCTCACATTATTTACCTTACAGTGCCGAATTAACACATTGCCTACCTCTGCACCAGCGATCAGTCATCCATCTCTTTTCAACCGACAATAAAAGTTATTTCAGACCCACTGATTAAAAAATACAATATCTCTGGCTGTTTTCACTCTTACAGCAGCCAAACAATAAAGCAGTAATATGACAGTAAAACATAGTTAATGATGAAGCCAAGGTGGATGTAGCATCATCACCTGTTAGATTTCGGACTACCGTTGTGAAATCTTGAGTTTGGAATTTAATAGTTGTTATCTTGCTCTTTTGAAACCAGACGTAGCAAAGATCTAATTAAGGACATCATGCACAATGAAATAGCAGCAACCTCTCGATTAAATGTCAAAGTTTAATGTCTGTTTTACTCTAAATGAGACCATAATTTATAAAATGAACATTATGCTGCGCTGATGAAGACTTAAAACTAGCAATTGAGACCATAAACTATTTAGGAAAATGTTTACTGAGTTAATAAACCAAGTGAGAATTTGGTTAATTTTCTCATAGACGTCTACACAATCAGACCTCTGAGGAGTCGCCCCCTGGTGGCAGTTAGAATGATTGCAGGTTTACGGCACATTGATGGCTTCATTTTTCAGATTCAGAGGCAACATCTTTCTTTTATATACAGTGTATAGGTTTATCAGAGCCTCAAACGTACAAACAGTCTCATGTATGTGCAAAAAGTCTGTACTGTCGTGTGGGAAAAGCTACGTTTTGGTTTTACTCATTGGTTTGTGATTGGCTGTTGCCACCTGCGTGGTTCCGAGTGGTCCAGTGCTGCAAAAGGAAATAAAAATTTGAATAAATCAGAACACATTCTGTCATAAGAAGGGACTTCATGGAGTCGGCATGGTTTTCTCGGGCAGATCTTTCCAGATCCTTGAGGCTTTGACTGCAAGCACTCTGTCTTCTTTAGGTTTCAGGCGGGACCCTAAAAAAAAGCCCCCTGCGTGAGGATTTCTCGGTGCTTGGCAGTGCATATGTAATAAGATGTCAGAGCTGGGAGAGAGGCCATGACGGAGCAGTAAAATTAGTTTTAAAACTTACTGGGAGCCAGTGTAAAGAGGATAAAACGGGAGCGAAGTGATCACATCTCTTGGTTGACGTTGAAAGGCTGGCAGCTGAGTTGTGAACGGTCTGGAGTCAATCAGTGGATTTTAGGTTCTTTCAGGTCAAAAGAGTGTTGCAGTAATTCAGACGTAATGAGACAAAAGTGTGTAAAATAGTCCATCTGCTGCCAGCATTAAGTGTTCATTAAGGATGTTTTAAAAAGCTGTAAATAAAGGAGTCGTGTTTTATGATTCTCAGGCTGTGAAAGAATTCCAACTTTTTTTTGTTTACTTTTCAGCTTCCCAACGATTGATTGATTTTTTCCAGCTGATTAAAACAAGTCATCTGGTTAGCGCCACCACGCCATCCCACGACCCCAATTAACAGTTTATTTAAATAAATTCAATAGCACACAGGTTATAAAGTAGATTTTCAAAGCTGTGATAGTCTAAGTATGTAGCATTAAAGTTTTAGGTCATGGAAGCTCATTATCGGAAGTGTGAAGACAGTTGAAACAATGAATTAGTGTCTTAATTAATGACTTAATATTTTAAAATAATGACTTGATATCGCAAAACAATGAATTAATATCTTAACTATTGACCTAATACCTTAAAATAATGACTTAGTATAATAAAATAATGACTGAGTGCCTTAATTAGACCTAATATTTAAAAATTAAGAACTTAACATTTCAAAATAACTACATAGTATCTCAAAAATAATAATTTATTATGTAAACAATAATGACAATAGCTCAGATTAATAACTGTAAAATAATGATTCCGTATTTCAAAAATAATGACTTAATATGTCAAATTAATAACTTTCTATTGTAAAAATAATAATAAAGTATCTCAAAATAATAACTTTCTCAAAATCAGTTTCTTGGGCTGCAAGGTGGATCAGTGGTTAGCATTGTTGCCTCGCAGCAAGAAGGTCGCCGGTTCGTGTCCTGGGGAGGACACTCAGGATCTTTCTGCGTGGAGTCTCCATGTTCTCCCCGTGCAGCGTGGGTTCTCTCCGGGTTCTCCGGCTTCCTCCCACACAGTCCAAAAACATGTTGAGGTTAATTGGTGATTCTAAATTGTCTGTAGGTGTGAATGTGAGTGTGCTTGGTTGTCTGTCTCTAAGTGTAGCCCTGTGATAGACTGGTGACCTGTCCAG